CGTTGAAGTGTGGTGGCTTGGTGGTATCTTTTGAAGTCCGGGAGCGCCAGGCCACCTCCCAGTCTAGGTAGGCAAAGTACGTTGTGGCGTAGTCGAGACTTCTCCCCTCTCCAGACATATCTAATTACCGCCGATTTCAGGGTGGAGAAGAAGGTTGTCGGTGGTGCCACTGGTATTGTCTGAAATAGGTAGAGAATTCTCGGGAGCACGTTCATCTTGATTACTGCGATTCGTCCGTGCCAGGTGATGTGCGGATATGCCCATCTGTCAAGATCTGAGGTTACCTGTCGCAGGATGTTGGCAAAGTTATGTCGATAAAGTTCCTGTGGGTTTGTGGTGATCCATACTCCAAGATATTTCATTTTCTCCGCGCACCAGCGGAATGGAAAGACTGTTCCCAATTCCAGGTATTCTTCCGGTGGAAAGGTTAGATTAAGTACTTCACATTTTGAAAAATTAAGTTTAAATCCTGCGATTTTCCCGAATTTTTCGAATTCTAGCAGTAAGCAGGGCATTGTGACTCGTGGGTTAGAGATAAAGAAGAGAAGATCGTCCGCATATGCGGCCACCTTATGCTCCGTTCCCCTCCAATTGTATCCCGAGATGTCTGGGTTATGGCGGATCGCGTGTAGTAGTGGTTCCAGAGTCATTGCAAATAGTAGTGGCGACAAGGGGCATCCCTGTCTAGTTACATTTTGAATCTCGAAGCCGGAGGTAAGGGCCCCGTTCACCCGAATAGATGCGTGTGGTTTATCATACAGGGCAGAGATCCACGTCAACATGTTCTGTCCTAGACCCATGGCCCTCAGTGTGTCCATCATATATGACCAGTTAACACGGTCAAAGGCCTTTTCGGCGTCCGTGGAAAGGAGTAAGATCTTGTCCCGCGTCTACTGTGCTCTGTGTTGTATGGAGAAGAGGCGCAGTGTACTGTCTCGCGCCTCCCTCCCCGGTATAAACCCCGTCTGGTCTTCATGGATCAGGCTTGGCAGTATACGTTGTAGCCTAGTTGCTAGTACCTTCGTGAGCAGTTTCGTATCCACGTTTAGTAAGGATATTGGTCGGTAACTGCTACACTGTTCCGGGTCTTTCCCTGGTTTGAGCAGGACCGTGATAGTGGCGGCTAGTGATTCCACTCCGAATCTTTTCCCCTCGGTGATGGTGTTGACCGCAGTAGTTAGTCGAGGTAGGAGAGTTGAGGAAAAGCGTTTGTAATAACCTATGGAGAATCCATCAGGTCCCGGTGCCTTGCCCGCCTTAGCACTCTTCAAGGCTGCGGCCATTTCCTCAATGCTAATCGGTTCGTCCAGCGTATTCGCTGCTTCCCGTGATACCCGGCTACCTACGTTGTCTTGTAGGTATTCTTGGATAGGTGTGCTGGCGTGGCTTCCCATCGTCATATTTCCAGGGCCATGTAGATTATACAAGGCGTGGTAATATCGTTGGAATTCATTGGCGATGTCCTCAGGGAATTGGGACACTGTCCCTGTTTGTAGACGTATTTTATGTATCCGTGTGCGGGGGGTATCGCCTTTCAGGACGCGGGCTAGGTATTTGCCTCCTTTGTTAGCATGGATATAGAAAAAGTTCTTGGAGTGTTGTAGTGAGCGGGAGTATCGTTTCGTGAGAAGATCTTTCAGTCTGCGTCGGGCATCTGTCAGGTCTTGTCGGACACTGGCAAGTTGGTTTTGTTTGTGTTGGAGTTCCAGCTTCGAGATAGTCCCATATAGGTCCGCCATTTCCTGCATGGTTGCCTTCCGTCGTCGAGAGGCTATTTTTATAAGTATACCGCGGATGGTACTCTTATGAGCTTCCCAGAGTACAATTGGAGAGGTGTCTGACACATCATTTTCTTCGAAGTAAAGGTCAAGAGCTCGTGTAATTTCGCTTTCCACCTCGGGGTCCTGTAGCAAGGATTCGTTCAGACGCCAGGTCCATGTTGCCGGTTTGAACAGTGGCGATTCCAGTTCCACTGTAACCGGACCGTGATCCGACCATGTAGCGGGGTCGATTGTGGCCTTCTTCAGTCGTGACAGGCCTTCCTGTTGGATTAGTACGTAGTCAATCCGCGAGTAGCGGTTGTGAAGTGCGGAGTAGTGGGTGTAATCTTTGACATCCGGGTTGAGTACTCTCCAACAGTCCACCAGTCCCAAGTCACCCATCGACTTACGTATCGAGTGAATGCTAGACATAGGTATATAACAGTGTCCCGTGGATGTGTCCATCTGAGGGTCCAACGGGGTATTGAGATCACCCCCCACAATGAGTGTGCCCTCCGAGAATCCGCTCAGTTTGTTCATTGTTCTCCGAAGGAAACGTGCCTGGTTTTTGTTGGGCACATAAATGGAAGCCAGGGTGTACATTCTGTCCGCTATCGTGCCTTTTAGGAAGAGGTATCTCCCTAGCTTGTCAGTTACCTTATCTAGTTCTTTGAAGTCCAGTTCTGCTGCAAGGGTGATAGCGACTCCTGCTTTACGGGTTGTGGGATGATTGCTGAAGAAGGTGTTGGGGTATTGCCGATTACGGAGTTTAGGCGCGGACCCCTCGAGGAAGTGAGTTTCCTGGAGCATCGCTATGGAGATTCGTTTTTTCCGTAGTTCACGAAGCAGATGGGTGCGTCGTTCCGGCACGTTCAGGCCTCGGCAGTTGAGAGCCATAGCAGTTAGCGGAGCACCGAGGTACGCCATCGTCAGTCCGCCAGCCAGGAGGGGGCACGCGGAGATCCCAGCACCAGGTCTTATATTACAGCTAGCTGGAGGCCTGTCCACGTTCCCTCAAAGTCACCCAGTGATCAGTCCACGGTGTAGCCGCAGGTGCGGTGGGTCGATTGGCGTGGGATCACCGAGTGCGCAGGGATCCCACCCCGCTACCGATGCTATGTCAAGACGTCAGGCACTTCAGGTTGCGGGTCGATATGTCCTTATGTGGTAGGCTCAGAGCGACTAGGGTAGTAGGGGCGATAAGTGTACTCACACGCGGAGCACACCCTTGAGTCGGGGGGGGGGTTGTCACAGGTCCGTCAAAGTAGGTTGTAGAGTGAGGAAAGTGTGTGGGTTAAAAAAGTGGGGAGTTATAAAGACCCCCAAGTAGAGGTGGCCCCGAGAAGGGGAAAGGAGAGTGTCCACCTCGGTCCTCCTTTGTGGTAAGGAGGGTGTAGCCGTGCGACGGCGGGAGGTGCCCGGGCCCACCCCGGTAACCAGACCGATGTGTGGGCCTGCGGGAAGCCCCGACGTCTAAAACTGTGCATGGTTTTTGTTAGGGGTTAGCAGCCCCGCCCCAATCCTTCTTGGGCCGAAAGTGAGAGTGTTGTAACCGATTAATACTAACCAGCTCCCCCCCGCCGGCCCTCCAGCCTGGTGCCGGTATCGGTACATGGAAAGCCAAACATATAAACAGTAGCATACATACATTTCAACATTGTAACATATGAGGACAATACTCAGAGTCCAATCGGCTTGCCCCCTCCACCGTCCCGTCTCCCGCCCTCCCCGATTCCCCGGACCTGGATGCGCCTCCTGCATCCTGGACGTTAGTCAATGAAAAACAAGTAACGTATAAGTGACAGCATCACGAACATTAGGCATGCATACATAATATGAGGTTATTATTATGTCTCATTCCCCTTCCCCCTTCCTTTTCCTACCTTCCCCCCATCTATCTTCCCTCCCCCCTCTCTGCTTACCCTTTGTGTGGCAATTGGGGAATATATTCAATAATGTGTCTGCGAAATATGGCCCGGGTGTCTTCTATGTCCCAGTACTATCCCCCTCCACATCTATCTATGCTAAGTCCTCCTATCTGTTTCTGCGGGTGCGTTGTGGCGAGTGCCCCCTACCCCTGGGTATGGCAGCCCATCGAATGACTATCCAGAGTATAATGTGCCCCACCCTCTTATCTGCTGGTACTTAACGGAGGAAAAATATCACGTGGTGGAGCATGGCTTAACTAATGAAAGGCCTGCAGGATCCAGGGAGGTGTTATGTATAAGGCTATTGATGCGTCTTATTCCCTGTGTGTTGTGCAGATACTATAACCATTAATTCTAGGTGCAAGACATGCAGATCAGCGGGGTCGAGCATAACCATTAGCTTATGTGCAGGGGTAGTGTCCTGTACCGTAAAACCGTGGTGAGCTTCTCCTGAGTTGACAGCGTAATGCTGGGGATTCCGTTCCTCGTGTGATGGAGCTTCGTGTAGTGGTGTATGTTCATCCCCCAAAGTATTTAGCTCATCATGTCATCTAGAGCTTGTGTTATGCCGCCCTTATCCGTTTGGTACGGCAGCTCCACTTGTGTCGTATAACGAGTGCCCCCCAGTTTCCCCACCCCAAATCTTATTCCCGTGTGATGGTATAGCAAGCTGTGTTCGAGCTCAGTCTCGGCAAAAAAAAAAAAAGAAAAAATGAAAAATATACATATACGTTACATCTTCATTATCAAGCTGTGTAGGTCCCCGGATCGTCCAGCAGGGTAGCGTGTTCCATGAAATCTATGGCAAGTGCAGGTCTCCCAGGTGGGGGCGAGGATCAGGGAGACGTGCCCGGCGGGGGCGGCGACATGACCGCTTATTCTGGTGCCTCCTGGTTGTTGCGCCTTCGTTGCGCTGGTCCCTGTGGCGGTCCTCCTCCTCGCCTCCTGGGTGCTCTTTGCGGCTGTGGTCTCCCCCCTAGGGGGCCCAGGATCCAATCATGGACCGAGATATGTGGTAGATCCATTTCTTCCAGAAATCTCGGAATCTCCTCGGGCCAACGTATGGAGGACCATCCATTCTGGTGGCGGGCCAACAAGGCAAAGGGATAGCCCCATCTGTATTGGATATTCCTCTCTTGAAGGGCCGCTGTTATGGGCTTCAGTGCCCTTCTGGCCTCTAATGTGATGGGGGATAGATCATTAAATAGGGATACCATTGTGTCCCTAAAATTCCAAGTAGGCCTGGATCTGGCCGCCTTCATGATGGCGTCTTTGTCACGGAAGGAGCTGAGGCAGCATATTATATCCCTTGGGTTGTCGTCCGACGGCCTGGGGCGTAGTGCTCTGTGTGCCCGCTCATAGCTGAATGTGTGTGGGGCATCCGCTCCCAGGATCATGTGAAAGATGTCATTGAGGATGTTTTCAGTATTTTCCCCGTCTGCTTCAGGGACCCCACGGACCCTAATGTTGCATCTTCTCCCCCTATTGTCCAGATCCTCTATTGTTCTCCTCATGTGTAGGAGCATTTCCCCCTGGCGTGCAAGGGCTGTATCGGTCGCCTGCAGCCTAGTGGCCTGAGTTTCCTGGGAGTGTTCCAGGCTTTGTATGCGGCCTGTATGGGCCGTTACTTCTGACCTGATTCCTGCAATCTCGGCTCGTAGGGCGTCCTGTATGAAGGTGGTATGTACCAGGAGGTCTGCTTTTGTGGCCATGGCAGCAGCCATTGATCTGATCTCCTCCCCGATCCCCTCTAGTGTAGCGCCACGAGGTTCTCTGGGGGACTGTTCTGCCGGCGCCATATTGGATCCGCCGGCCTCCCCGCTCATGTCGGCTTGGCTGTGGAGGAAACCGTCCATCGGGCCGTGAGTGTGCCCTATCTGGGAGCCCCTCGGGGTCTGGGGGGCATCAGTGCGACGGTGGCGTCCCATGTGTGCGGAGAGTTGCTGATTAATAGGCTGTGGTAGGTGCCGGCGGGTCGGAGCTCACTCTCTATGCGTCCATCTCGCTCGGAGCTCAGGCCACGCCCCTCTATTTGCCAGCTTCAAGCCTCTTAGGAATGTTCAAAATCCTTTAGAGGTCCCTAGTTTTCAATTATCTCGTTCCTTTAAAAAAAAAAAAATATATATATATATATATATATATAAATAGTGCATGACTGCAGCTACATACAAAATTTATCTAATTCTATTAATGACTGTAATATGCATATTGAATATCGATTCTGTGATAAATAATGCACTACAAAAATAAAGAATTATTTAAAAAAAAAAAAATTATATATATATATATATATATCCTGATGAGCGTCAGAATGGCTGTTCGTGTAAATAGGCCTTGTAAAACTCATGATTTTAACAGGACAGACCAGATTTTGCTTCTTGGTTTCTGGCATTCAGGGGCATCCGGGAACCATGTTCAGGCAGCTCACCACCAGGGCAAAATTAGACATGCTGGACATGTGAACCGGCACTAGGACCATGCAGAGAGTGTTTTAGCAGCATTCTCTGCAAGATCTTCTAGGTTGGGAGATGGCCAGATGGGCTGTCAGTCAGCCTGACATGCCCTTGCAATTGTACATGCCTGCCGCTTTTCGCCACTGTTCCTACCTACACAGTTCCTGAAAAGAGAGATCTAATGTTTTAACTGCCTATCTTGAAAGTCTGTTTAATTTAGAATTTCTTATCTACTCTTCTGTTAAAGTGACACTATAGGCACCCAGACCACTTTATTTCATTGAAGCGGTCTGGGTGCATTGCCCCTAGGTCCCTTAACCCTGAGCAGGTAATGATTGCAGTTTTTGATGAACTGCTATAATTACCTGCTAGGGTTAACTCCTCCTTAACAGCCATGGACTTTCAGGCTGTTCGGTGACTTTTGGTAGCCGAACTGATGCTGGACGTCCTCATGCTATGCATTGATTCTATTGCTGTGCAGGCACATTAGGTCTCCCCTCCAGCTGAGGTCGACAGGGGTCAGGGGAGGATAGAAGGAGGACCAGAGCCAGCTCCAAGGGACATCGGCCCTGGACCCAGGTAAGTGACAGAAGGGGTTTTTAGACAGAGGGGGTAGCTATAGTGCCAGGAAAACTAGTTTGTTTTCCTGGCAGTATAGTTTCCCTTTAATAGCCTCCCAGAGTCTGCAGGAGCCTTCTGTGTGAACTGTTGAAAATTGCTGTCTATGCAAAAGGAAGCTGCTGAACACGTTCCAAACCCCATTTTGTTAACATTATTTTTTCTTAGTACGTTTTAGGGAAAGATGCTACTAATCAGCTTGTCCATGCTCTAGTAATCTCTTTATTACTGGTTTATTGTAAAACTCTCTACTAATAGGTCTGCCTACAAGTTGTATTGCCCTGCTACAGTCTGTAATGAATGCTGCAGCTAGACTGATTCTCCTCTCCTGCCACTCCTCTCACACATCTCCCTTCTGTCAGTCCTTACATTGGCTTCCTGTATCCTATAGGAGTCAATTCAAGGTACTAATCCACACCTCTAAAGCACTGACCAATTCTAGCCCCTCCTATATTTCTTCACTGATACACAGGTATTGTCATACCTCCTCGCGGCCCATGCTGCTCCGGTCCCGCCACCCGCTCTGCTCCTCCAGGCTCTGCCGGCTTCCAACTGACAGCGCACGCGCGCGACCAGGGAGGCGCGCATGCACGCGCGGCTTGGCACTGAAATCTTAAAGCGATACTACCATTACTGCATGAATCCTGGTAACCCTTTTATAATTTCTCCTATTCTCTTCCCTAGCCTATCAGATCTCTCTTAGCCCTTTTTATACCTCCCTCCTACATCGCTTCCTTGCCCTGTCGTGGTCTATTGTAGCCCGAGAGTGCATTCTGTATACTTGTGTGTTTCCTGGTATCTGACTTCGGCTTGTCTCTGGTTATCCGTAATTTCTGGCTTCCTTGACCCTTGGCTTTGTTTCTCGTTTATTCTTCCTTCTCTTGCCCTGACCTCGGCTTGTCTGATTATTCTGTTACTCTCCTTATTTTTCTTCACGTTAAGTCCGGCCACTTTAAGGACCGGTAATACGTCTAACTTGGGTTGCCTGTTAGTCCTATAGTTAGCGTGTTGGGGAACCTAACCTTTACAGGTATGTCCCTTCTCGGTCTCTCAGCTCTGCCCATAACCTTCTCCTGTCTGCTGCTCGCACCTGTACAGCCAACTCACGCTTGCAGGACCTCTCGCGAGTGGCTTCTTTCTTTTGGAATAGCCTGCCTACAACCATCAAGCTCTCCCCTAGTCTTCAATCATTTAAAAAGTGCCGCAAAACCCATCTCTTTGGGAAAGCTTATGGCCTCTACCTCACATACCTGTCCCTTGCTCTCTCCTAAAGGGCAGCACTCTATTCGCTCACCTTGTTTGATTGCTACCTCCTGTCCTGTTGGGTTTTACGCCCTACCTCCTATAGACTGTAAGCTCGTTTGAGCAGGGCCCTTTTTAACCCATTGTTCCTGTAAGTTTTTGTATTTGTCTAATTTATTGTTAAATCTCCCCCTTTGATAATATTGTAAAGCACTACGGAAAATGCTGGTGCTATATAAATACCAGTAATAATAATAAATAATCTGTAAAGAGAGAAGAAGCTTTATTAATTAGTTTTCTTATTGGAAGGAAATGCCTGGCTTCAGATTGGGTTGTGTGAGTCACCCATTCCTGAGATACCCACGTGGGCCCTAGTTTTGTTAAGACCTGTTAAATAGTAGCAGAGATGACAGTTAGCATGCCTCTCTCCCTACATAAGCTTCTGTTGATGGACTGCCTCTTCTAAAAACTTCCTGTGCCTTGGCATATATAAACTGCTCTATCTAAATTTAGTAAATGTATATGCAGCATTATAAGAAAAAAAAAAATTTCTGAAGATATTCCACTCACTATTCTAACTTTAAAGGATAGTGAAATCACCACATAAATATTTGTATAAATTACAATGTTGCTTCATGAATTTGTAAGCAGGTCTTTCACTAAAATGTGAAATATCGAGAATTCGAGTTAATTTAAAATTTAGGCGAGATTAGTCAAATCGAAAACATTGAAACCGACTTGGATGTGTGTATTTTGTACTCACCTGAACGACAAATAAAGAATTTACAAAAAAAAGAAACTGACTTGGATAAAAGTACAAACACCACTTAGGAGACACATGTTGGATCTCTTAATGGGTAATTGTTGTTTGGCAGGCTTACCTAAGCACATAAAGGCAAATAAAGAATTTTAAATAAATAAATGACCACTACTGATTTTATTGGAATGCAAGAGGATTTAATTTAGAGAGGGAGGGGATGCATTGTACTGGGTGCAGTGTCTGTGTTCCTGTAGTGGATCCAGTGTCTGTGTTAGTGTAGTGGATGCAGTGTAGTGGGGTTGGATAAGGGCTCTGAGGGGAATGAAGTGTTTTCATAGTTATAATTTATTTCCCTCCCTCCCTCCCTTTTACCTCTGGTCAGGGGGTGGGGACTCTAGTTTCCCTGGTAGTTCAGTGGCATAGCCTGCTGTGTTCTATGAAGAAGTGGTCCAGGAGTATAATCTTGCACCTCCTGAATCATTAGGTCCTTTCTTAATGCATTGCGGGGGCATTGCCATTACAAGCTGTTAGAGCAGAGGACCTAATGCTGCAGGAGGGGCAAGATTACACTCATTGGCCCCTTCTTTAAAGGACACGCTAGCAGGGGCGTGCGCGTGTGTATATATTTATATATAAAAATAAAAATACATTTTAAAAAAAAACACTCACTTTATCCAGTGAGGTAAATCGTTTAGTTTAAACCCCCCCGGTACTCCAAAATGGAACTTATAGATTAAATGTTAGGAAGGAATGGGCACTCATAAGACTTTGTTAGAAAATAGTAAGAAAGATTTTAATTGTGCAGCATCAACGTTTATGGGTCTTTTTAGTACCTATGTCTTGCAGTATGCAATGATACCTTTTTTATTGGATTAACAAAGACAAGCTTTCAATAGTTTTCCTCTCTTCCTCAGGTCTGAAGCAATGCTTTAGTATTTTAGAGAAACACACACACGAATCCATGTATAAAGTTGAATTATGAGGCAAAAATTTGGTTCTTTGTTGAGTTAATTTGCATATGCCTACCCAGAATCCCTTGCAGTAGTGAGAGCACTGTTACAGTGAGATTTCTGAGGGAAAAGTCTTTTATCTTGACTGGTGTGTGTATTTGTGTTTAGCAATGTATTAAATTATTGATTAAATGAAAGTCTTGAAATGCTTCAGACTTGAGAAAGGGAGGTTCTCCTGAAAACTTGTCATTAAAAAAAATTAATCCGATAAAAAAGGTATTACAAGATAAAAAACAGATAAAATTTGTTTTTTTACACACACACACACATATATACACATACACACACACACACTAAGGCGGCCGGGCCCTGCACAGCCGATTTGTTATAGGTACACGGGTGGCAAAATGCCGCCCCTGTGAAAGTGCTGCCAGGAGCCATGGCCTGGCCCTGGCTCTGACTCACTAACTGAGCACCAGAACCTTCAGAGAGAGTATAGTATAGCGTGTATCAGCAGAGAGTGCAGAGCATGAGATATCACCACCAGGGAATAATT